AAGATCATACGTGTTATTCATCTGTCTACCAACAATCCATACAAATCGACTAACATTGAAACTATATATGAACTTGCCATTTTGGACTTTCTATTTCCACTGACAGTATGTTTCCGATTTCTTTCTAACCTTGTCAATTTACCATTGGTTTGAAGGTTACCAAAGATTTACATCGTTACATACCTTTCTTGGGCTTCAGTAACTTTGTCCGAATGGGTGATCCTGAAGAAGGAGAGGAAGAACAAGTTTGTTATGTTCTAAGCATCGGCCAAAAACAGATTTAACTTTCAGTTATGGTTTTCACGATGTATGGTATCTACCAGCTCGAATCCGGAAATAGCTACTTCTCCGGAAACATTGCTGAATGAAGTCGAAATGTACAAAGCTCCACATTTTGGTGAAATGGAATGGGTATGAATCTAACTCGCTTTAACCATTATATTAAATGTTCAGACTAGATGTCCTAATACAGTGATCAGCTTTTTGGAGAAAATGCACCTTACATCAAGAGGATATCGCCTAGTTAGAATCATTATGCCAACAGAAGAGAATGATGGATCGTCTTATGAGGTTGGTTCCTCATCTATTGTTATAAAATTGATTTTGATTAAAGGAGTACAGCGAAGTACATCTACAATAAGAAGCATAACATCATATTCAATTGAAATTACATGTTTACTCTGTTCTCACAAATCTATCTTGCATTTCTGGATTACAAATCATTCGAAGCATTTCTTTTCATGTCAACGATCTCATAGACTGATCATCTAATTTATATAAATTAATAATTAATATAATGTTATTTCATATTATTTAATAAACTTTGATGTTCTATTCACTCGTTCAATTGAATGACCAACTCTTTATAATCTGATTATGAAACAATGAACAAGAGTTTTCTCACACATTAAGTAATTTTTGTGGGAGGGAATCAACTTTTTCACATTGGATCCCACGTTTTTCAAAGTACATCATCCAATCAGAGCAACTGCTTTTCCAGAAGTAAGTTTTTTCAATAGATGAACAATCAACTGTCTTCTATTTTTTATTTTTAGTTTTTATAGAATTTGTTCTGAATGAAAGGGTTTGCAGCTCATGAAGCCTAATGACCTTGATAATGTTTTTGAGCTACTCGATAACGATTGTAAAGACATACAATAAGACAA